CGGAAGCGGGGCTGATCGCTCCCTAGCTTCCTTCGTGCATGTCCAGCCCTGTGGCTTCTCTCTGGGTCCACCTCGTCGCGCTCCAGAGCAGGTGGGGAATCCAGCCACCCTTCGTGCCAGGTGTGGGGCGCGGCAGCGTCACAGGCCTTTTTGAGCTTCTGGTATGGTTTAGGCTGCAGCCAGGCCAGGCGCGCTCTCCTCCCTCCAGCCAGGGCGCGTGGCGTTTCCCACTGTTCGCTGGGTCACAGGAAGTGGAGCGGGGGCATCACAAAGAGCCACAGCCATGGCGTGGGTGTGGGTGCCCTGCTCTCCCCACTGAGCCTGAGAGCACAGAGTGTGTGTGTGTTGGTGGGTGGGTGGGTGTTTTGGGGCTGCAAAGACCTTTTCCTCCCTTCTGCTTGCATGCGGTAGTGTGATGCCCCCCCGCCCCGGCCTCTGCATTGCAGACAGGGAGCTGGCCTTGCTGAGGTTCCTTTCTCCCTCTTTGCCTGCCTGGGCCTGGGCCTGGGCCTGGCCCCCGCCCTCCCCTTCCCCAGTTCCAGAGGAGGTGCTTGTGCATTCCATCATGTCTGAGCTGCAGCCTGGCGTGGCCCAGCGCCAAGGCCGGCAGGGAGAGCGAGCAGGACCCAGCCTGCGCCATCCGGGTCGGGTGAGTTCGCAGGTGCCGCCCAGACCCTGGCTCGGGGGGGGGGCACAGCGTGCCAGGCCCACAGAAACTGCAGGGAGGAGCATGGGGCCCTGTGGAAGCCCTGGCTCCCTCCCCCTGCCCCTTTGCTGGAAGGAAGGAAGGAAGGAAGGAAGAGCACCCTCCCTTTCACGTGCCTGCCCTTGGCTGTGGCTGCTGCAGACGGGGCGGGCGCTCCCAGCTGGCTGGGGATGCAGGAGGGGTCAGAGCCAAAGGAAAACAGCATGGCAGGCCCCTGGCAGACAGAGCTGCCCCCAAGGAGGGCTTACGGACCAGTTTGTTGGGTCAGGCCGGAGGCAGCAAAGCAGTGCTGGCGTGCCCTCTGAGCATAAGCAGAGTGTCAGTCCTGGCAGTGCTCAAGTGCAGAGACTGCTCACCCCCTGGCAAGCTGCAGGAGGGCCGGCCTCGTGAGGGGGGAGAGGAAGAGGGCAGGAACACGTGTCAGCAGCAGGCGCGATCCTGCTGCGAGGGAGGCGGGAGGGCGTGACGTGTGTGCGTGTGTTTATCCCTGGAGCGGTCTGGGAGCTGCTCTGCGCCAGTTCATTCTTAGCCAGCTGAGCTGTAGGGAGGGGGCCGCCACGGGGGGGAGGAGGGGCTGGCTGGGCACTGCCAGCGGGGGCTCTTCCAGCCGCACCCTTTCCTGCCTCCCTCGCTGTTCCCCACTCGAGCAGCCCCTGCAAGTGATTTCCCACGGCTGGCCTGGCCTGGGCGCCCACAAGCCATGTGCCTCGGCTTCTTGTGGCTCTGGGCCCCACAGGCTCCCAGGGGACACTCTGGGGGATTCCGCTTGAAAGCACGTTGCCCCTGGCTTTTGCTGTTCTGCCCGTCTGGTGTTGGGCACTCAAGGAGCCTCTCTCTGCAGAATAACCCCTGGATCATCAGGGCGGGGGACGCTGATACTGGCTGGAATGCCAAGGCCTGCTGGCTGGGAATGCCCTCTATACAGCTGTGCCCTGTGCACAAACAGGCGGGTGGTCTGATTTCACTCAGGCCCCTTGAAAATGCGACTTGATAAGTTTTGGGGCTCATTTCTTAAACTCCCAAGCGTCATCCTGTGGCCAAGTGTCTTCCTTGTCTGCCCCCCCTCCCCGCCTGTTTTCTGTCTCGGGAAGATGCTTCGAAGGCCTCGCGGCCGCCCTTTCTCCAGCTTCAGTCTGAAAGCGCCCCCCGCCTGCCTGTTTGCAGCTCCACAGCCTGTGGGCAAGAACAAGGAGCAGCTGTTTGCAATTGGGAGCCCTTCCTGTGGGGGAGGGGGGTGCTGGGACCCACAAAGCTGGAATCATGATCTGAGGGAGGGGTCTGACGTCTTTGCCTTTGCAATGGCCCCCTTTACGCCCCAAATCTCCTGGGTATTAACTGGAGAAGCAGGAGGGCATGGGGTAACCAGCCGGGTCTTCCCTCCATCCGTGACTGATGCCCCCCCTCCCCTTCCTGCTGAGAGGGGAAGGCAGCCCAGGAGCCTCCCTGGCACCCTCCCACAACCCCAGGAAGGAGTCGGTCAGCGGGAGCCACCCCCCCCATCCATGTGGGTCTTCCCCAGGGCTGCTTTGGGGGCAGGAAGAACAAAAGGGTCGGAGAAGCAGCAGCACGGGCAGAGATGCCTGGCCCATCAGGAGCAAGTGGGGCAGCCGTGCCCACCCCTGCATTTCCAATTCCCATGCAGGCTGCAGAAGACCCACCTGAAGCTCCCCACCACAGCTGACCAGAGCAGCCCGCTCCCTCGCTGCTGGCCACCCATGCATTCCCTGGACGAGCCCCTGGACCTCAAGCTGAGTGTCTCCAAACTCCGGGCAGTGCGAGACAAGCGCGACTGGGCCCTGGGCAGCACCAAGGGCCGAACTCTGTGCCAGATCACGGAGGACGAGGGCTACCTGGCAGCGGGCCCAGGCTCTCCCCACTCCCCTCCTGACAGTGAGTAGTAGGAGGGGAAGGGGGGCTCGGGCTGCTCCCTTGCCAGTGGGAAAGGGGGGTGGGACGTCCCGCTCGCTCTCCTGTTCTGCCGTGTCTTCTACCCCCTCCAGGCCTCCAGCCACACTCCCAATGCCAAGACAAGAGGGACTATCCATTCTCCTCGCCTCCCACCGTTGACCTGAGCCTGTCTCCTTCTCCGCCAGGCCGGGACTCCCCCAGCGGCAGCACGTCCGTCTCCCCCGACAGGCAGAGCGGTGGGGAGCTGGTGAACTGCTCCAGCTTGCGTGTGAGTGTCAGCGACGGGTGGGTGGTGGAGAACAGCAGGGGATTGATTCCAACTCTGCCACACATCCCGAGGCCGGCTCATGAAGCACGTGTGTGTGCCAAAGCATTTCCGAATCTTCTTGGCATGTTCCCGCAAGTTTCCTACAAGGCAGGTTGGGGATAAAGCAGCACAGCCTCCCTACCAGGAGGGTCTCTGCCTTGTGGAAGTTCCTGCCCACCACCTTGGTAGCTTTCAAGGGGGTGTGGTGTGATGGTGGTGGGGAGAGAGAGGGCTCTTACTGACCACTAGCAAGGGCTCTCTTTTCCCTCCTCTGGCAGCCCCCGAGCAGGACAGGAAGGCTGAGTTTCGCCCTGCCAGAATGGCTCAGTAGGGAATCCGGGGCCGCGAGCAGAGGGGCCGCCCACCAGCCTGGGCTTTTGGCCACGTCCAGCAAGCTTTTTCTGAATAGGCAGTTTTACTTCCAGCTCTTGAAAAGAATATGCTTTTTCTTCTCACAAATAGCGTTTATTGGTGGTGGAGGAGACGGTGGTTTTCTCCCCGGAAGCAAGGGCAGACCCTCCTCAGTTGCCAAGCAGGGGGGGGGCATCTTTTGCTGCCCTTTACAGAAGTCAACGGGTCCTCTGCTAACACCACCAAGAGCTGGGGGGCTTGGCTGCTAGCCAATGTCCCAGCTCTTCTCAAGGCCCCTCCTCCTGCCCACCCAGGACCTGCAGTCCCTGCGCTACATTGACAGCCTCCGCAGCTCCTTCCAGTTCTTCCTGCCTCTGAACTCGGGGGGGTCGCTGCACCTGCCCGCCTCAGCTTTTCTGGCGCCCTCCAAGGAAAAGCGGCTCTCCTCAGAGGCAGCTGTGCAGAAGCAGCTGGTCTGCCGCTGGACAAAGGTGAGCAGCATCTCTCCACTGGGGTCCCCACAACAGCCAACTCGGCCAAGAGCTGTAGGGCCTGCGCTCTTCCTGGTGACCCCAGGCCCCCCCTCTCCCCTGCTGCAGTGCAACCAGCTGTTTGATCTATTGCAAGACCTCGTGGACCACGTCAATGACTTCCACGTGAAGCCAGAGAAGGATGCTGGCTACTGTTGCCATTGGGAGGGCTGTGCCCGCCACGGCAGGGGCTTCAATGCCAGGTAACACTCTACATGCCACATGGAGGGCGTGGAGGCTTTCCGGGGGGGGGGCACAAATGCCTGAAGCCGCTCCAGAGTCTCTCTTGCAGAGCGGCGCTGTGACACTTCGTTTGCAGCGGCTTGGCCTTCCACACAGGACGTGAGGCCCCGGCTCAGAAACCTCAATGCCCCAAGGAGTGTGGGAGGCCTGCAGAAGGCCTGCTCTGGGTTGTGCCCTTGAGCAGCTGTTTCATTGGCCTCCTGGCTCCGGTTTTGGACCCTGTGGCCCAAAGGCACGGGGAGGCCGACCCGCAAAGGTGGCCCCTCCCATCAGCTGACTTCTGGAAACCTAAACCCTGGCAGGAAGCCTTGGTGCTTGGGTTTGGAAGCGGCTCTTTTATGCTAGGAGCCCCCCAGCACCCGGCCCCAGAAGTCCTTGAGAGGCTGTGATGGTGGGGAGGAACCGGGCCCCCGGCTCCCCACCCAGCCACCTTGCCGTGAGCCGCTATTCCTCTGCAGGTACAAGATGCTGATCCACATCCGCACGCACACCAACGAGAAGCCTCACCGCTGCCCCACCTGCAGCAAAAGCTTCTCCCGGTTGGAAAACCTGAAGATCCACAACCGCTCCCACACAGGTGAGCCTGGAGGGAGGGTGGTTTGCCCACCCCCAGCATAGCTTCCTTCCAGACAGGCCTGTTCCTCCTGAACACGCCCTCCGCAAAGGGCCACGCTCCAGCCGACAGGCCGGGGCAGAGGCAGGCAGGGCAGCGGGATGGGTGGCCTGGGGTTTTCCTTCTTGTGATGGCCGGAAGGCTGCCCACACAGTGGGCAGGAGCCCCTTTCCCTGAGCCAGTCTCCCCTCCCGCCCCACTGGCATCTCTCCTCCCTTTTCCCTGCAGGAGAGAAGCCCTACCTCTGCCCCTACGAAGGCTGCAGCAAGCGCTACTCCAACTCCAGCGACCGCTTCAAGCACACCCGCACCCACTATGTGGACAAGCCCTACTACTGCAAGATGCCCGGCTGCCACAAGCGCTACACTGACCCGAGTTCTCTCCGGAAGCACATCAAGGCCCACGGGCACTTCATCACCCACGAGCAGCAGGAGCTGCTGAAGCTGCAGCCTCCCACCAAGTCCCCCCTCACGGCGGATGGACCTTACCTTGGCAGCGGGGCACAGGTCATCGTCCCCACCCCGGCTGCCCTCTTTGGCACGCCCCGCCCTCCCCTCCCCCCCCCGGCTCCCCTCTCTGCCAGCCACAGCCTGCCCCTCCCGCTCCCCCAGGCCCCCCTGGATCTCAGCACCTTAGCCTGTGGCGGGCTGGGCACGGCAGCCATTGCAGGCCTGCCCAGCCCCGTGCTGGCCCCCTTGAACTTGGCCAAGAACCCCCTGCTGGCCTCCCCTTTCTCAGCGGGCAGCCTGGGGCTGCCAGTGGTGTCCCTGCTGGCCGGCACCTCTGCCAAGGCAACTGCTGAGCGAGGGCAGGGGAGCAGCCCCCGGCCCACCAAAGGTGGCAGCGGTGGTGGAGGCAGCAGCCGGTCCCCAGGGCTCCAGCGTTGCAAGGAGGCCAGCGAGAGGATGGAGCTGGCCAGGCTGCGGACCACCACGGACAGCCTCTCGCTGCTCCCTGGGGGCGTCCTGGACCTGTCCGCTGGCATGAACTCAGCGGGAACTGCTGAAGCCCTGCCCCCGGGCTGGGTGGTAATCCCAGCTGGGTCTGTTTTCCTGAAGCAAGCGGTGGTGAACTAAGCAGAGAAAAGCGAGGGAGGGAAAGGCGAGCTTGTCCAGGGATGCTGGCACCCGTGCCCAGCCTTGGATC